TATTTCTTTTACTTTGTGTTCATGCATATACTTGCATATATCGTTTGACATAAAAATTTTCTCTAAATTTAATAAGTGTGTATGACCCCATTGTTTAAATTTTTGTTTTGCAAAATTTTGAGAATTAGGTGTCACATATTTTTGGCGCTCAACGTGGGGCCACTTACAAAAAAAAGAACCGTAAAACCGGACAGCTACTAGAAGAGCGTGTTTACGTGATTATTCGTCTTTAGTTGTGTTGAAGTTTCTGGGCGTTTATTAGATTAAAGGCATTATAAATTTTGTTGTATCTCGGGGGAATCTGAACGCGAAACGGTATTACGGACGGGAAAATAGATGTAGGAAGGTTATCGGCTGATGCGCTACGTTACGAATTAAAAGTCAGGGATGTTATGGGTCAAATGAAGCACGATGAGATGCGTTGTACTTTGCGGGAACCGTTTTACGTTTGCCGACGATGAGGCAGTTATTGTGGACGGGTTGGCTAAACTCACTGGAACTGTGTACGATTTTACGGAAACCGCGACTTCTTCTGAGTTCAAAAAGATTAACAGTCAATTAAATCAGTATCAGTAACTTGTAACGAAGTTAATAAAGATTAAATTTTTTAAAAAAAGAATCTACGTGTTATTTAATAAAATACCGATCATGGTGATAAAACATGGCGCAGTCATTGTGAAAATAGAAATAACGAAAGAAGAAATAAAAACTTTGTGTGAAAATAAACATGGAACAATTGAGGTTACCGGCACCATTGTCCTTTGAAGGTGACATTGTTGAAAATTTTAGAAAATTCAAACAAAGCTTCGAAATATATCTCATTGCGAGTGGTAAAAATGAAAAAGCAAGTGAATTTAAAGTAGCGTTGTTATTGAATTTAATGGGAGAAGAAGGACTAGAGGTATATAATGCCCTTGATTTGACAGCCGAACAGAAGAAATCATATGATACTGTATTAGAAGAGTTACAAAGATTCATGAGCCCAAAAACAAATGAAGTGTATGAACGTTTTGTGTTTTATAAACGGAAACAGGAAGAAGGTGAATCATTCGATCACTTTTTGACAGACTTAAAAAAGTTAGTGAAGACGTGTAACTATGTAGGTGATACTGATTCGATGGTACGCTACAGAATCGTTTTGGGTATTCGAAATCCAGCCTTACAAGAAAAATTGTTACACATAGACAATTTAGATTTAAAAAAAACAGTGGAAATATGTAAAGCTAGCGAAGCAACCGAAATAAGATTTAGAAATGTTCAAGAAAGAAGTGATAAAGTTGAAGTCGTAAAAAGAAGAATACATTACAGGAAAACAGAAAACCAAGATGGAAAAAAGGAAAATAAAAATGAGTTTAATTGTAAAAGATGCGGACTAAAACATAAGTTCAAGGAATGTCCTGCATATGGAAGAAAATGTAAACTTTGTGATAAATATGGACATTACGCTAAGATGTGCAACAAAAATCAAAACTTGAAAAAAGTAAAAGACATAAAAGAAGATAGGGAAGATGATTCTAATTCAGAAAATGATGAAGACCAAGCCTATGTGTCATCGATTTTGGTTCACGAGGTTAATCATAGAAGCGAATGGACCGAGGTACTTTATGTAGAAGATAAAAAGGTGAAATTTAAGATTGATACAGGTAGTCAAGTAAATATAATATCACTTGAAGTAATAAATGATTTAGGTAAGCAAACAGAAATTGTAAATACTAAAACAATTTTAGAAACCTATGTTGGATTCAAAATAAAACCAGTTAGTACTGTAAGAATTGATTGTGTATGGAAAAATAAAAATTATAGATTATCATTTATTGTAGTTAAAGAAGCTTTAATGCCAATATTAGGTTTAGATGCTTGTTTGGATTTAAGTATTATGAAAAATGTGTCAAATGTTATTGAGATTAAAACAGCAGAACAATTTGTGTCAAAAAATATTGATGTATTTACAGGATTAGGTCAATTTAAAAAAGAATGTAAATTAAAACTAAAACAAAATGTAATACCTATTGTAAAACCTCCTAGACGTGTACCGTTAAGTATAAAACCAAAATTGAAAAAACATCTTGATAGTTTAGTAAGTCGGGGAATTATATCAAAATTTAACGAGCCAGTCGAATGGTTAAGTAATTTAGTAATTGTAGAAAAAACAGATGGTAGTTTGAGATTGTGTTTGGACCCTAAACATTTGAACATTTTGAACGATGCCTTAGAATTTAGAAAGACAATTTTGTGAGATACCTACACTAGAAGAAATTGCTGCTAAATTGAATAATAAGTGCTATTTTACTGTGTTAGATTTCAAAGAGGGATTTTACCAGGTAAAACTGGATGAAGAATCAAACAAGTTATGTACATTTGGATGTCCCTTTGGTATCTACAAATTTAATAGAATGCCCTTTGGCCTTGTTGTGCGCCAGAATACTTTCAGAGTATAAATCAAGAGACTTTTGGTGACATACCTGGAGTTATCATTTATTTTGATGATAAAACATGATAAAATTTTACAAATGGTAATCGACAGAGCTCGAAAAAATGAATATTAAATTCAATAAAAAGAAAATTCAATATAGACAAGATGAAGTAGAGTACTTAGGAAATGTATTCAATAAATTGGGTATGAGACCAGATCAATCAAAAACTCAAGCAATAGCTAAACTGCAAGTTCCAAAAAATCGAAAGGAATTACAAAGGATGTTGAGAATGATAAACTACTTGAGAAGTTTTATTCCGAATTTGGCAAATATATCAAAACCGTTAAGAGAATTATTAAAAAAGGACATTGATTGGATATGGACCCAGGAACATGACGAAGCACTTGATAAAATTAAAAATATAATTAGTTCGCCTGTTGTTCTAGCAAATTTCGATGAGACAAAAAAGATAACAATTCAGACAGATGCGAGCAAAGATGGTTTGGGTAGTGTTTTGAACCTATTGAATTATGAATCATTAATGAAAAAGAGTGTTGCTGATGTGCATTCTCCACGATTACAAAGAATGAAAGTGAGATTGTTGAAATATGACGCACAAGTAATCTACAAATCGGGAAAAGAAATGTTAATTGCGGATTTATTACCAAGAAATTATTAAAAAGTAACAAAATATAGCGAAGACAAAACTTTGACTGCAATAGTACATTCGATTGACGTTTCTGATAAACGTCAAAGAGAAATAAAGATTGAAACAGAAAGAGATGTCGACTTATGTCGAATTAAAAATTATTGTCTTAACGGATGGCCAAATAAAATCACGAAAATTGCCACAGAACTAAAAGAATATTATAAGAATCGTAATAACATACATATCATAAATGAAACACTGTATTACAAGGGCAAAGTACTTGTACCAAATTGTACCAAAACTTTTAAGAAACAAAATTCTGGGAATATTGCATGAGAATCATTTTGGTATAACAAAAACACAGAAAAGAGCAAACCAAGTTGTTTATTGGCCAAACATAAATTCGAATATCGTTGACGATATAAAAAAGTGTAAGACATACGAAAAATTTCAAAAGGCTAATGTAAAGGAACCGTTGATATTAAGGGAAACGCCAACAACCCCATTTGAAAAAATTGCGAGTGACATTATGGAATTTGGTGGAAAATCCTATTTGGTTATCATAGATTATTATTCAAAATGGCTCGAAGTAGTACCGTTAAAATTTAAGACAGCATCTTCGATGATTGATGTGTTTAAAGTAATTTTTGCGACGCATGGTATACCATTGGAATTGTACTCGGATAATATGCCTTTCAACTACTGGGAGTTCAGACAATTTGCAAATGATTGGAAGTTTACATTGATTACGTCAAGTCCAAGGTATCCCCAATCCAATGGCATGGCGGAGAGAGCAGTACAGATCGCGAAAGGATTTATGCGGAAATGTGAAGATTTAAATAAAGCATTGTTAGCATACAGAAACACACCAATTACTGGAACGGACAAATCACCAGCTCAGATGTTGAATGGTCGCAGATTACGATCTGGATTACCTATAAAAGAAACTTTATTGTTACCAGAACAGGTCAATCATGAATTGGAGAAAGAGAAACTTGGAATCAAGAGAAAATTATACAAGATGTACTTTGATAGGAATGCTAAAGAGAGAGAAGAATTGAAGGAGAGAGAAAATGTGACTATAAAAGAAGGAAGGAGTTGGGAGCCTGGTGTTGTCCTAAAGAAATTGAACGAACCGAGGTACCTATCGATACCTATCGTGGTGATAAAACAAATATATTCAAAACCGGTTAAATTAATATCACCATCAATAATTAATTTAGCTAATTCACTATCGGGAAAGTATCCATTATCTTTTAAGAAATCCTTAAATTTTTGATGATTTTCAAAGTTATCATCACTACCAACATACAGAATATCACCCTTTCGATAAACTCTCCATATATTATTGTCAAATTCACAAAACTGTACAAATTNACCTGTTACAGTGTATATGCTAAACCGTGCGTTACACCTTTAAAACAGCTTTCTATACCTCGCCTGGAATTGTGCGGTGCTATACTGCTGGCGGATAGCATTGATTATGTCTTGACGCTTTTAGAGAACAGATAGTTCTTGATACACTTGTCACCTGGACTGATTCACAAATAGTACTGACAATAAGCTGGCTTTCGTCAATTCCATCTCGTTGGAAAACCTTTGTAGCAAACCGAGTAGCTCGCATACATGAAGTTTTCCAAAAACCCATTGGAGACATATCTCATCTGAGTCTAATCCTGCTGACTGCACTTCTTGAGGCTTGACATCAGCACAACTCATTGCAAATCGTTTGTATTGGAATGGAGTTCATTAGTTGACGATGCCAGAAGAATCGTGGCCAGATTCATCTTTTTAAGCTAACTTAATCGAAGCGCCGCCGGAAGAAGTCCGAACATCGTTGCAGGTTACAACGGACTTATCCTTTATTACCTACCTTTTGACTCGCCATGTGAGACTCCATGTGAGAGTAAGTTATACTACTTTAGTACTACTTCCATACTAAATTTTATTGCGCTAGACACACGCGTTCAGATTATACAGGGTGTGCTCGTGAATTATTTCCAACAGTGTACATTATGTGTAAATAGAGATTTAAAATGCATTTTTATTGCAAGGTTATTAGCATATTTTAAAGTTCTTTATGTAAGTTAGCGTTATATCAAACCAATTTATTGTAATTTGCGTTTTAATTTGAATCACATTCTCGTGAATCACACATTTATTTATGTATTTAAGTTGCTTACGTAAGTCAACGTTATTTACGTTTTAGCATAAGTATTTATAACTGAGGAAATATGTATTTCGAAGTTTAGTTACGTTACAATGGCTTTATTCAATCCATCTTCCTTGGCGGACTTAGCTATTGATAAAATTAATTTAAATATAAAAATCCGTGTAGATGTATTAAGGCTGTGTCTAGTACTACCATGGGTTTTAGTTTTAAAGTTATGGGACACGTGGTTCGATACAAATTGGTGGGAATTGGGAGCGCATGAAGAGTGTCTTGAAAACGAAAATTTATGGTGATCTTTTTGGGTTTTTGGAGGGTATTTGATTTAACTGAATCGAAGACCGAAAACACTGAATCTGTTATAATTGATTCAATAAAATACAAAATGGGACTTGAGATATTGCCAAATGAAATAGATCGTTGTCACAGAGCGATTAGTTTTTCCGTTAGTGGGCTACTAACGGAAAAACTAATCGCGCAATAATTGTTAAATTTATAAATTACAAAACTAAACACAGGATTTTTTCAAAAAAGAAGTCATTAAAAAATTCCGGCGTTACCATTGCTGAGGATCTGACCAGTTATCGAGCTTCGCAGCTAAGGAAACTAAGGGAAGAACTCGGAAAAAATGCGGTTTGGGTCGAGATGGTTCAATCTATATTTTGGAATCGAATGGCGTAAAGAAGAGAATAATTTATTAACGCGTATGTTTATCTTTCTTCGTTTTTGTTTCGGGTTTCTTTTATACCATTAATTGTTTTTGCCTTGCTTATTTTATTTTAGTTTATTGTTATATGCATATTCATTTATTTTATGTGTATTTTTTTTTCTTTCTTTTCCACTTCCGTTTATGTACAACTTATAACTCTGTATAATACAAAAAGGAGAAAAAACTTTTTTTTCCTTTGGAGTTGTTTTGATTGTCGACGGATAGTAACTGTTTAGGAAAATTTCTGAATGTTTAAAATATCGCACCTAAATATTCGTTCTCTGGCGAATAAGGTGAATGGCGTGCTGTCTTTGACGCGATTGAATAGTTTTGATATTTTTGGCTTAAGCGCAACCTGGTTGAGTTCAGCAGATGAAGACTCGTTGATCGAAATACGCGGTTATATGTTTGTTCGAGGGGATCGTGGCGCCAGGGGTGGGGGTGTGGCATTCTATATTCGTGATATCAAACACAAAGTTTTGCCTACGCAGTGTTTCACTTTTTTGGAGCAATTGTGGTTACAGATTCGAATGAAAAAAACTACCTAGTTTTTTTTTCATTTTTCCGATTTTTGTGTTGGAAAAACGAGTTCGGGACAATAATTGGCCGAGTTGTTATCGGGAATTGTGTGGTTTTCGATAATTTTCCGTTTTCGCCGTTGACGATTTTTAATGAAAAATAGTGGTTTTCAAAAAATTTCTCTTTTAAAGCTAATTCAAAACGTTTGAATGTTTAAAAAACGAACAGCTGTTAAAATAATAATAACGAATTATATCTCTAATGTATTTATGTTTATTTACAAATAAACGTTTTTCTATTTTTATCTTCTATGGCCAAAACGCTCTCTTAAATTTTTCAAAACAAATAAATGAACTTACCATAACAAAAATCAAAAAATATAAAACCCAACTTTTATGTTAGATGGATAAAGTAAATTTAAATGTTAAATAATTTATTACCTCCACAAGGACTTTTTTGTTCATGAATAAACTCGATGCCATTACTACTCTCTATACTTATGTAAGTGGGGAAGTATTGAGTTTCAAAAACTTTACATATTCTTGAGTGAATTTTATCCGCGACGTCATACGACGTCTTCCTCTTCGTTATATTTGGCGGTCAATTTGAAACTTTGTGACGTTTCTATCCACAAACATTTCCATCGCGTCACGCCGGAGGAGTTTTCATTTAATAATCGCGAAAAACCGACGTGAAAAATCAAACCGAATTCCCCCTCGCAACGAGATTCTAAAGAAGATCCGTAAAAGAAAAGGAAACATCTGAAACAAAGTTCTATTTATCGAAAACGTTATTCGATGTTATGTAGCTGTGCTTGCACTTTTCCAGTTTTATTTTTTTGATAAGCACATTCGATGCATGAACCTATGTAGCTCTTCACTTTCTTCCTCATTCTGGAAAACCAAAAATATTTTTGTAAGTGTAGTAGTGTTCTTTCCAATCCATAATGTCCCATATCATCATGGCTGCCCTTGATCACTCTCCATCGCACCTCATTGGGAACTACTCATCTCAAGCCTTCCTTCGCTTTTCGGATTATTCGGTTGTCCTTCAGTTCATAATCTTCATGAATTTGTTTTTCTTCGTTGGTTTGTGGTCGTTTCCGTAGAATATCGAGTATAGTCTTCAACTTGTGGTCTTGGAGCTGCATGGTTAAGAGCCAATCGCTGTTATCAATATGAAGGGTAAGTATGTTAACGTCTGCAATTTTAACTTCTCGGGCTGGTTCATGTGGATTTCGGCTAAGGGCGTCGACGTGTGCCATTAGAGTCCCAATTCGATGTTCGACCTCAAAGTCATATTGTTGTAATTTCAGTATCCATCGCCCAATTCGCGAGGTAATATCCTTCTTTTTCATCATCGTCTTTAAAGAGTTGCAATCAGTAACTACTTTAAATTTCCTTCCCAACACGTAAACTCGAAATCGTTCCAGTGACTCAACAACGGCCAAAGCTTCCAACTCGTAGCTGTGAAACTTCTGCTCTAATTCGGAAGTCTGGCGGCTAAAATAGGAAACAGGTTTCATAACTTCATTGGGCTTCGACTGAAACAGGATTCCCGCCAAGCCTATTTTGCTAGCGTCTGTGTGAATTTCGAAATCAGCATTTGAGTCATATAAGGTAAGTATGGGTCGTTCGGCTAATTCGTCTTTCACGCTCTGGAATGCTCGTTCTTGTTCTTCTTCCCAATGCCAATCGTTGTCTTTTCTTGTAAGTATCGTTAATGGTTTTACAATTAAACAATAATTTTGAATGAATCGTCGGAAAAATCCCGCAATTCCCAAAAATTGTCGAACTTCTGTCACGTTGGTAGGACGTTTGAACTGTTTGATAGCGTCGATCTTCGAATGACCTGGACGAACCCCTTCTTCCGATACTTCAAAACCCAAATACTCAACTTGCAGTTGCAGTCTTGAAGCACCTCGAAAACACGGCTCAACTTAGCGAGTCCCTCGGTTACCGTTTCACTCGCGATCAACATATCGTCCATATACGTAGTTACGATCCCGGACCCGATCTTGCGTTCGACTATCTTTATCAAGCGATTGAACACACTTGGCGCATTCACAAGGCCGAAGGACATTCGCGTGAACTGGCATTGTCCCTCTGTCGTCACAAAAGCAGTTAAGTGTTGTGATTCGCGCACAATTAGAATTTGATAGTAACCACTCGCGAGGTCTAATGTTGTAAAATACCGATTTCCGGCTAACTGATCGAGTTTTTCGTTTATGTTCGTCATCGGTACATATTCTTTCTTTGTCACTGCGTTTAAACGACGATAGTCCACGCACATTCTTTCCCCGCCCGTTTTCTTCGAGACTAACACTACCGGACTTGAATATGACGAATTAGACTCACAAATTATTCCGGCTTGCAATAGTTCAGTTACAGTTTTTGTTGCAATTTCGCGATGTCTATACGGCAATCGGTACGGTCGTGACGTAACGGGTGTGTTGGATGTAAGTTCTAATTTCATTTCGATATCGCTTGTCAGCCCAATATTTGCAAATCCGGTTGCAAAACACATTTCGTTTCTACTGATTAATCCTCGCAATTGTTGTTTCTCGTAATCGTTCAAAGTTTTGTTCATAGGACAACAAAAGTTGTTAGTCACATTTCTTGAATTACACTCGTTACTATCGTTGCTTATTATTTCGTCGTTCATCTCCTCTACTTCTAGTTCGAGTCTTACTTTTAAATTTTTCTCGTACGTTGTTTCTTCGTTCTCATCCTTCATCGAATCCATGTTCTTTGATTGTTCGTTTATACTTCCTTCGTTTTCTGTTTCTACATTTATTGTTTCATCGTTTTCTCTTTCTTCGTTTATCGTTTCATCATTTTTACGTTCAATCACTAGCTTCGTTTCATCTTTTGTTATCAGGATCCCACGTTGGTTCACTGCACTGCGTCCAGTTATTATTTGTTCATCTTGGGCTTCATTAGGTACAATGTAGACATCAACATCTATACTGGCTTCGTCAATAATAATTCTGGAATGTTTCTTACCAATCGTTTGGCTTTCACCGTTCCCGAAACTTCGGAGCCTTAAATTCACTCGGTCATACTTAGTATTTAAATCGTGGGCGTCTTCTCTTAGAGTCACAACATCACTTCCCAAATCTATAAATGCCATTAATTTTTGTCCGTCGACGTCTACTATCTTATGGTACATATCTAGTGGTTCTGGTAAAACTCTGATACGATTGACATTTCTCTTATCTGTCCATCTGCAGTCGTTTTGTTTGTGTCTGACGCGTTCACATGTATAACAACGAAGTTTCTTCTGTGGTTTTGGACATTTCAAGGCGATATGACCATATTCGTTGCAATTGTAGCATTTCTTTGCAGAATACTCAGATGTTTTGACAAGATCAGCCTTATTAACTGTCATCGTAGAGCTTGATGTAGTGGATGCGGGAACAGCTAGTCTCACATGCAGCTGGTTAGTGCTCTCATAAGCTTTAATTTTTACTAATAATTCATGTGTATCATTTGGATAACTCACCGCTAATAACCTCGCTAAATCCTTATCCATTATTCCAGAAATCATATATTTTACTACAGCTCGTTCGCTTATCGTTCCCTTACTCTCTATTGCTTTTACATCGTACACATAGTGCTCATAACTTTCATTACTTCGTTTCTTGCGTTTGGTCAATTCAAAGTGTATGTCAGCGTCGTCAGTTAGTGTAGGAAAATCAGTAATAATTTGGTTCCAGCAAGCCAATCGGACAATGATCCTCGGTATCCTTCAAACCAGAGCTTTGCGGCTCCACGTAACATTGAGATGGCATTAAACAGTACAATATTATGATTCCATTGAAATGAATCTATTGAATGTTCCACTTTTTGAATCCATTGTGGTGCTGTTAATCCGTCTAGTTTATCTGGATCAAATTCTGGTAATAATTGTGACATGTTACCTGTTGGTGTCATTTGTCGTTCCTCAGTACCTAATTCAAGGGTTCTCTGTCGCTCCAGTAACTCCCGTTCTCGCTTTAAAAGGTCCCATTCACGTTTTAACAATTGTTTCTCCCATTCGATCGGATATCTTCAATCACTCGTTGCATCCAGGGTATTCAATTCGTCAATGTCGGTTGAATTTGGTACCATTCCTTGTGGATCGCAATGTATATCGTCCATGCTGGGTATAATATTTGTCTTTTCGTCCGCTATTTGGTACAATTTCGCCAAGAAAAACTTAAGCTTCTTTTGTTGTTGTTTCGTATTGTTTCTGTCAATCGTTGACGTTTTCGGTGGCGCCCTCTCTTGGTACGTAGCGCAATTCGTTAAATCAACCTTGAAATATCGACACCGACCGTTCAGATATTGCAACTGACAGTTCACAACTTGCCCGCTCTCGTCGTTGGGTCGCTGCTTTACGTTGTCCGTTATTGCAATGTCCGCCGTCAATATTTCTCAATTTCGTAGTTTTCGTTTTGTGGCACTCGATTCTTGCACTATCCCTCCGCTGTTTTGTTAGGGTGGCCGAAATTAAATTAATCTTACTTATTTTACTTGTTTTAATAATAGAAATAATAATACAAAGGATGTAACACACAAAATGATCTTAACTGACCCACGTCTAATCTCGTACTGTTTTCCTTCCCCACGCCTTCCAACTATCGTTCCTTCGCGTCTATATTCACATTTCTCTAAAAATAATAAGAAAAAATGGAAAACGACATTGTTTATGACGAATATCGTAATTATATTACAAATGAAAACGAAGAATACTCGTGCAAGATAAGTCGAGTAAGTTTACAATACTTTGGTTGAAGGTATTAAAATTAGAAGTATTATAGGTTTTCAGTTGAACTGGTTGCCAAGAAAATTGTTAAATACTGATCAAACAAATGAAAATAATGATATTAAGACAATTGTTTCAATCATCAACAATACGCAATGACACAGTGTGGAAAATGATTTCGGAAAAACTGAAAGCAAATAATTTAAACTTTAGTGCTTCACAATGTGAAAATAAATTTAAGAATTTAAAAAGAAGATATCAGAAGAATAAAGATAATATGAAGCCGGCAGCGTCGGGGGCAGCAGTGATAAAATTTGAATTTTATAATGAAATGGAAGAGCTCTTTGGCAAAAAACCAAACATAGAACCACTAGCAATAGCTTCATCAAGCAGAGAGAATATAGTGCAAAACAACTCTCTAATTGAGAAAGACCTAGATAGCGATAGCAGCAAAAGCAGCAGTAGTAGCAAGAGCAGTAAGAAAAGAACACATGAGGTAATTACATAGTTTTTAAAATACAATGACTGATTTACTGTAAAATCTTTTTTTTCTGTTTTTAAATATTAACGTCATTTTATATTAAGGGAAGTGAAAAGACTAAACAAAAAAAAAAGAAAACAAAATCTGACAAATTGATTGAAGAATTAAACAGAATGGAGAATGATAGAGAAGAAAGAAGAAGGAAAAGACATAAGGAAATTATGAACTCTCAATTAAGAGTCCTAAAAGTGTATGAGCAAACGATGAACAAACTTATAGAAAAATTGTAGATCTAGACTACTGAGATAGGAGAATTCCTTTTTATTTGAAGATCTCTTTTTCTGTGTTACTACATCTTATTATTTAGTTAATATTTATTTTTGTTTCATTTCATTTATAGTTTATTTTTGTTCAAAAATATTTAATGTTGTTGTCTCCTTGACTTTTTTTTTATTTAATAATCTCGTTTTTTGTGTTACCAGTTTGTTTACGACTGATTATTTAGTTAATNGTCGAAGTTTATTGTAAGCCCCGATGAAATTGGTGCCTTGGTCACTGAAAATGGTGTTACAATTACCACGCCGAGATATAAATCGTTTCAGAGCGGCGATAAAGGCATCCGTTGATAGATCTGAAACTACCTCTAAATGGACCGCTTTAGTGGACGCACACACAAACAAACATATATACGATTTTACAGACCGTACACCTCTAGCTCTGTGCATGGTGGTGAATATAGGACCAGCAAAATCCACTCCTACTACTGAGAATGGCTTCAAGTCGGTCACACGAAATGTTGGTAGGTCGGCCATCAATGGGGTATAAGACTTTGGCTTGGCTTTGAAACATCGGATGCAGTTGGATAGAACTTGATAAATCGCATGACGAGGAGAGATGATCCAATATCGCTGAGATAACAATGATGATAACGTTCGATGTCCAGGGTGCATAAACTTAAGATGAGCTTCTTCAATTATGAGTCTGGTTAACCGAGACGTTCGCGGAAGTAATAATTGATGTTTTTGCTCAAACGGCACTCCCGAATTACACAACCGACCACCCACCCTGAGCAACCCATCACGGTCCAAGAAAGGAGCAAGTTGACGAAAGGGTTTTTTGGGCAATTCATTGTTTTGGATAGATTTAAAAATATCCGAGAAGTGTTGCCGCTGAACATGTTTGATTAAAGTATCCAATGAATGTTGGAGTTCAAAGGCTGATAGTATTGTTGACGTAAATCGTTTTTTCTTGCGAGAATGATATATAAATCGAAGAACATAAGCGACAATTTTTTGGATTTTAGACAACGACGACAATTTGGTAAGTAGATTGTCAAGAAAATTTGGTATAACTTCTGTTGAACAAACTTGTAATGCTCTTTTCTCCAAATTAATTTTCTCATTCGGTATAGCACAAGGATTATTTGGCCAATTTCGATCATGATCCAAGAACCATCGAGGACCATGCCACCAAATATCAGAATTGAGAAGTTGCTCCGGATTAAGACCTCGAGAGGCGCAATCAGATGGATTGTGAGCAGACGGAACATACCGCCAACAGTTAGCAGGTAAAATATTCTGAATATGAGCCACTCTATTCGCTACGAATGTTTTCCAATTATTAGGAACAGAATTCAGCCAGTGTAAAACTACTTGTGAATCCGACCAAGCAGTGATAGATTTAATTTTAAGTACAGATGTAAGAATCGGTTGAATGGTTTCAAGAAAGTCAACAAGAAGAGTTGCTCCGCACAATTCCAATCTAGGAATTGTAATTGTTTTAAGAGGTGCTACGCGAGATTTACCGCCAATGAAGTAGGTACGGATGGAATTATCAATTGTGTGATATCTTAAATAAGCGCAAGTAGCGTATCCAATCTCAGACGCGTCACAAAAAAGATGGAGTTCACATATTAAGTAATCTTCGGATGATATAAATCGTGGTAATTCAAAGTTTGACAATAACGATAATTGTTGTTTAAAGGATTTCCATTGATTTACCAGGTAATCCGGGGGAATTTCGTCCCAGTCGCATTGCAATTGCCAAAGCTGTTGAATGATGTGTTTAGCTTTAAAGGTGCAAGGAGTAAGGAATCCCAAGGGATCATAAATACGGGCGATATCGGAAAGTATGTGACGTTTGGTGATGGAATTGGAACGTGGGGAGTAATGATATTTAAATACGTCTTTAGTTGGATCCCATTGAAGGCCAAGGATTTTAATACAATTGGATTCTGGATCTAGGGACAAAGGAGGTTGCAGATCATCTTGGGAGACTGACTCGAGGACGTCAGAACAGTTGCTTGCCCATTTTCGGAGTTTGAATCCTCCTTGTCGAAGAAGTTCAATTAAATCCCTTTGTAAAACAAGTATTTCTTGAATCGAATTGGCACCCGTTACAATATCATCAACATAAACGTTATGTTTCAGGACATGAGAAGCTTGTGAATACTCTTCTGAATATAAATTAGACAACTCTAAGATTGTTCGAAGCGCTAGAAAGGGCGCAGAAGCAATACCGTAGGTAACTGTATTAAGTTGATAAATTTGAATGGGTTCGTCTGGAGAGAAACGCCATAAAATATATTGATATATTCTATCTGCTGGTGTAATTAAGATCTGACGATACATGTGCTGTATGTCGCAGATAAAGACAAATTGAAATAAACGAAAGTTCAGTAAAATATCAACAATGTTTTGTTGCAACTTTGGACCAATTANGTTACCCAAATCCAAAAAATTTTGTAAATATTTTTGTTTACAATTGCGATGCATATTTGTAACCAAGTTACGCGCCGTTTTATATAGCTGCCAATGCGCGGGGTCTCGTGAGCGCTTAAAAGATTGAAGCAGTTTATCTCGATTTTGCATTGCTGCTCTTAGTTCAGCAGATATCCAGGGGGCCCCTGGCTTAGTAATTCGAGCTTTCTTTAGCGGCGCGTGCAGATCCAATAGCACTAGTATATTTTCAGTTAGAAATCTAACTTTTTCATCTATAGTCTGTATCTCGTATAGAATTCGCCAGGGCAATGATTGTAAGTGCTCATAAAACATTAACTCGCTAAAACCAACGTAGTTCCGATATGTCTTGAAAAGGGGTACAACCCTCTCCTGTGGTGTATGTAGCTCAACAAAGACCAGAGAATGATCCGACAGATCATTATCCAACACCCCACTATCAGACACTAATTCATCGTTCAATTTTGATATTTTGATGATTTTCTCGTTTAACATTAGAAAATCATTATAACTAAACGAAATCTGTTTATGAGTAATGTCCTTTTAGTTCATAATAAACAGTTTATTTCAAATAAACGTTTCTCAATCACCTTTAATTTCTGAGTTATGATCTATTTTAATACCAAAAGTACTCAATTTTGACATTTTGGTGATTTTTTTCTGTATCACTAGAAAATCATTATAACTAAACCAAATCTTTTTATGGATGATGTCTTTTTAGTTCATAATAAACAATTTAAAATGATAATCTATCATTACAGCCTTGGTGTAAACTATATGGTGGTCAATATTATTTTCACGTTGTTTCTGGGGCATTGGCGGTTAGACACTTTAGTTTTTTTATAGAATTCTTCTTTTTGTTCGTTTTTATCATCAGTGGATGCGGGTACGCATATAAAGCTTGATATGATTGATGAATTTTCTCTTAACATCCTGCTTGGAGACCAGACTCTTCGTTTGGGGTTACCATTCCTTAGCCAAAGGGTCCCAGTGTTTTGACGGGAAGAACTCGCCATACGACATTTTTTTCACGGTTGGTCTTGCAAGTGAGTTCGGATTTAACGTGAGCTGGATATTCTGAAATTAGCTTTTTTAATCTGGTGTCATCTGTTTGGCGTCAGTGACCCCTGCCAGTGTTTCACCGATCGTTCTTGAGCTGCTTCTTGGCTTCTCTCCCCTCGTTCCGTCCCGAAGGCTCATTCGTTAACGTGGATGCGGGAATAGAAATTCGAATATTATGAACGTCGATCAATTTGTTAATGAGAGATTTAAGAAATTAACTAAACCTGACATTATAAATGGAAATTCTATATATTTCAATTTCACACTTCATAATAAAACTAACTATTATTAATTTTTCTCAACTGTATTTTACTTAATTTAAAATTAATTAATTTGAATTAAATATGTTGTGTTAAAGGATTTTATAATTAAAGGAGAATTTTTTGATAAATACAAAAATTTAGAAGACAAAGTATATATTAGTAAGTTCATACAAAAAAAGAAAAAATAATCATTTCAATTAATACTAATTTTAAGATACAGAAAAGGAAGATACAATCGTTGAAACTTAAACTCCTCGATTTGGCAGATCTTTAACTTTGTAAATACGAACCAGCCAATGTTCTGTCGTGTATGCTTCTTCCAAAACATCTAGTTCAAAGTCTTTGTTTCCAATCTCAGCGCTTCGTACCCTATCATAACCTGGAGGTTTTCCCCCTTCTGTATAAACCTGTCCAAAACGGTAATAACACATTTTGTACATTAGACAGTTGAGCAGAGTTGGAGATCCATCTTTATCAACTCTGAATTCACCACTTGGAGAATAATAATCCCATTCTTTTATATGTGCTCCTTTTTCAGTGCTTCCACCTGATTAAAAAGAGATGTTTTTTGAGATGTGTTGAAATAATTGAAATTAAGTAGAAATAAAAAAAAATTTACCTATTCTCACCATCCATAAAAACTTATTGATATCATCAGATGAATACCCCGTTAATCCACCAAAAATTACCAAAACATAATTAACATCAAGTTCTTTCATAATTTCGTAAGCTTTTTCTTCAGTGCTGGCCATAGCTTGACCAACGCGACTGATATGGGTATTATTCCAAGTATTATTATCAACTAATATGGTTCGATTTGCCATCGCGGTTATTTGATAACCATAATCCCACCAAGACATGACTTTAGCGTCTTCTGGTGTATTCATTTTAAGCCAATAATAAGCTTCACGAAAATCATCAAAAATAATTCTACCTCCATCATGAGATCGAGCACTCAAAACGATACTTGGTGAACTGTAAGCTTCAGAAGTAACCCAGGTGCAATGAAAAGTGTACGAGATTAATAATAAACAAGTTATTCCAACAAAAGTTCCAGATATTTCATTTTTTAACACGATGTTTGATTCTAATTTTTTCGACTTTTTATGATGATCATGATGGGCTTGTTTGGTTTCAGTATGTTTAAGAAATTTCGAGAGAAGGTGAGAGATTGCTATTCCGCTTAATATACACATAACAGGTGCTAAAACTAACATTAAACGGACCATAACACCCTAAAACATTTAAAATTAAGTTAATAAAAACACCCAATGTTTAGTTTATCACTTACAGCGAAATAAATACTAGTAACTCCATACAAAATCAAAAAAATATTTGCATCCGTAAGCTGGTTGAAACAAAAATATAATCCAGCCGGAAATAGAAACACTAAAATTTGCAAATCAAAATAAAATGAGCTCCAAGACGTAGGTTGATGTTCCGAGACGCTTGCGATGATTGGAATGTGGTTTTTCGCGTACGAGGGATCCAAAAGGGAATAAAAACGTCCCGTCCATGGCGATATTTTACCGGAAAGTGTTAAAACACCGGCTAATAACAAAACTAATGTCCCAACTGTGTAAAGAAGGGTTACAAATAATGTTTCAAAATCCGGTTGGGATAATTTACTACGTAGATAATCGACGAATGCTAAGATTTGACACAAACCAAATACACCTAAAGCCTATAATTTAATTTAAATTAATATTAATGTAAAGGATTTTTTTAAATAATATTTACCAACATATGTTCAGAACTTTGAACAGGTTGGAAACCAACAAACGAAATTTGCATTGATAAAATTGTTCCAACACAATATAATGTGCTATAAGCAACATAAATCCTATGAGAAAATCTTCCAGTTATCATCAAAGTTAATACATGTAAAGGTATTAGATTAATTAAAAAGACATATCCACCCCAAGATGAAACCTACAAACAATATTTTTAATCTAAAAGATATTTTTCTATTATTGGTGCCAAAAGTCAAGGCTCCTCAATTAAGAGATTGTAATTCACTGAACATTTTTACGTAACAATATTGTTTGAATATTTTTGCCTCTGCAAGTTTACCAGGTTTGTGGCTTAATTGAAGCAATTGCATCTCAATACAAGTTGAAAACGTCGTTAATTTTAAAGATGTTGCTCCCTGCCAGTATATTTTTAACGTATGCAAATATCAATTCAATTGCGTTAAATTAGCAATGAGCCATTAGTAACCAATGCAATTTTGCCTCACTACTCCTAATTTATTGTACCAATGAATCCAAGAGATAACGTCGCTGATAATGATAAGGGCTCATCGTTAGTGAAGTCCTGTTGGCAATCACTTGAAAAGGCTAACGTTTGTAACTCTATCTTTTAATACAGCATCAAAGCTGATCAACTCCATCTCACATCGAGCTTTTTGTGATACATGGGATGAAACTGCAGTAGGTGTCTTTGCAAAGAAAACTCTGCTCAGTTCCTGGGAAAATCAAAAAGTGACTTGAGGCTCCTCACCCACTTCCTAACTGGATACTGCAGGTTACGTAAGCACATGTTCTACATGAAGCTGGCAAATACGTCCGTCTGTAGAGGATGTGAAATGGAAGACTGGACGGTAAGTCATATTGTTTGTGACTGTCCCAACCTCGCGTACTTAAGGGAATCTACTTTTGGCGTACCATGGCCCCAAATTTCGGATATAAAGAATATACCCTTCTGTTCTATATTAACGTTCATTAAAACCTTGGGCTGGTTTTCTGACTCCTGAATGAATTGTAAAATGTGGGGATGTACAAAGGGCCTAAGTGCTGTGAAGCAATTCACCCCCACGTGAAGCTACATAGATACAATGATAAGGGTAAAGTTGGGAAAGTTGTAAAAACTTTCGGATATCGGCGTATTCCTCCTCTGAAACCACGCTATGAAATCCCCTCATTCATTTCAACCATCTTTATCCTCGCTGCCAGTGTGTAAAATAATGATATATTTAACGGCGTTTCTTGAAATTTCTTGCGTGATGGCGTAACTTGGTGTAGGACAAACCAAGTTTCATCTATTTAAATGATTCTCCATTCTGTGTTTCTATAAGTTAGTGAAGAGTTAAAAAGAACTGCCCTGTGTGCTGCAACATTCGGGCGTTCCATTAAAATCGGTTTATTGTATAATTTTTTATAGAAAAACGGAGTTTTCTCAACTAACGATACAAAGTTCTTAAAGAAAAAGGTGGAAGACTTTCTAAGGTCCACGTACATTTCTCGGGTTGTTGGAAATCTTTCCGCCAGGTAAAAATCGAATACCAGTCTTCTTCTGACTCGTGAAGTTGACGAAGACATTTTGGACTCCGGCGAAGACAACGTCGATGAAGTCTCGTTTGAAGAACTAGAATCTAGTAATTTAGACACAAAACATCCTAGTAAACGAATGAAAGTACCTTCATATAGTGGTAAAAATGGATCCGTGTGGTTGAAAAATAATCTAACGAAAGAAAAAGTTAGATCTGTAAATACATATAATTAAAAAAAAAGCTCCAGGTGTGACGGATTACAGTAAAAATTCAACATCGTTGAAGAAAAACAAATATATTGCAAAACAATCCATAAAATACAAGCGTGAACATACAGGGAATTTCATATAACTCGCAATATATGAATGCAGTAACCATAGTTACGAAGCTACTATGCATTTGCACTGTCCCACATAAAATGCAACATAGCTTAATAGTGCAGGCATTGGGTAGCACGTCTCTCAAGACAGCTAAACCCGAATGATTCTAGTTCTAGGTCTTGTGTTAGTTCTAGTAATAGTGCTAGTGCAAAACTAGAACTAACACTAGATCGAGTACTAGAAACATTCGGATTTAGCCGCACGTCTCTCAAGACGGCTAAACCCGAATGATTCCAGTTCTAGGTCTTGTGTTAGTTCTAGTAATAGTGCTACTGCAAAACTAGAACTAACACTAGATTGAGTACTAAAAACATTCGGATTTAGCCGCACGTCTCTCAAGACGGCTAAATCCGAATGATTCTAATTCTAGGTCTTGTGATAGTTCTAGAGATAGTGTAAAACTAGAACTAATACTAGATCTAGAAGTAGAAACATTCAGGTTTAACCGTCTTAAGAGACGCACGGCTAAACGGAATGTTTCTAGTTCTAGTGTTAGTTGTAGTGCTAGTGTTAGCACTAGTTTTATTTCCTATTTAGCGCTAGATTGTTGTATATTTTTATTGAGCTATAATGGACACTACGTTCCCCGTTCAAAATATATCGACATATTGCATTTTATGTGGGCCAAAGTGAGTAGGTACGCCCTGGTTTCTTTGGAAATATATTTTTGTATATTGCATCTTAAGTGAAATTCACTGTAGTTGCAAACCGACTGATAGAATTGAAATGGAAACACTCGGTTTATTATATCAAGCTGGAACATTGAGAGATGCTCGATTGAATGTAGATCGAATTATAGGACAGAAACGAAAGCGGAATTGAACATTTTTGGTTGACACTTTTCAAAACAAAATTTTTGTTTCTTTTACATTGCCTCCAGTTTGATGTTTTGTCTACAAGGAAAAAAAGAAAATCTGTGGACAGACTTGTACCAATAAGCTTTTTATAATAAACTACAAGAAAAGTTATAGTCAGTGTTTGTGTTACTGTGGACGAAAAACTTGAAGTATTTCGAGGACGTTGTGTTTTCAAGCAGTACATACTCAGTAAACCAAATGATTATGAACTAAAAAGTTTTGCTGGAGATAATAAAAAAATCGATATATCATAAATTTATGTTGGTAAGCAACCGGATCGACCATTTCATTTCGCAAACAACCCAGCCAGTGTTGTAAAAAGACTTTTGTTGCATATTTTTGGATCTGGAAGAAACGTCACGACAACTGGTTCACCAGTATCCCTTTAATAGAAGATCTTCTGAAACTACAACTACTTCTGCTACTATAAGAAAAAACTAGCGAAAACTTCCACCTGAACTTATAAACACCAAGAATAGACCGATACATTCAAGTACGTTTAGTTTAAAAAAAAATATGAGCACTATCTGTTACGTGCCCAAAAAAAGAAAAAATGTAACTTTGAAGTCGGTAAATATGATACAATCATAACCCAATTAATGCAGAAAATTGTGTAGTACCTGGTGCAGAAATAATGGGGTCAGCATTAATCCGAACAAAGTAGAAATAGTCTCATTCACTTGGAGAAGGAAACTACAACTGAAAGCACCCTCCATTGAAGGTACAGCTAATAACCTCAAAACAGAAGTCAAATACTTAGGGTAATATTGGACAGTAAATTAAACTGGAATTTTCACATCGCTCTTCACTTAAGCTGACGTAAAGTAACATCAGAGGACATCTTGAAATTTTCGGGGACCTATGTCTAGTGATGGGCAGAAATATTAACCTACTGGGTGCGTAAATATTGGGTGAGTACTTATACGGTATTTACTTTACCCAAAATTTTATTTACCCACTCGCACTCAGGTATTTATTTTGGTGACGCAGTAGGTACAGGTGTACTGAACAAACAAGTTGGAACTGGAATTTCCGCATGTTCATTGGTGCAAAGAGTGAGGTGGTGGACTGGCGCGGCGCGTTGACACACGCATCACCTCATGATCATCAGTCAGTAGTGTCAGTACTTAAACTCAGTAACGAGCGACCGAATCTACTGTGCGTAGAACAAAATGGGACGACATAAGAGTGTAATATGGAACTTATTCACAGTTAAACCCAAACATTCAGTAATTTGTAAATACTGCAGTAAGGAGTACTTCGCAAACGTCAATAAAATGACACACATATTTAACCAATGTGTTAAGTGCCCAGTGGAAATTAAAACACGCATTCAACTAAAATTTCGCAACGAATTACATCGATGAAAGGGTCCACTTCAAATGATGTTGCATCTCCATCTGTTTGAGAACCGACAGCTGATAGCCCTTGTGAACCTCAATTAATACCAGATTCAGACCACCTCTCTCTGTGTTCTCCACCATCGGCCAGTTCCTTTGCATCATCTAGATCCAGAACGATGGAATATTTTGCTGACAGAACTATTTAACTTGGTTGATAAAATACATAAAAAGCTGGTTCTTGCCATATATGGTTCTTCTTTATCTATGGTTGGACACCCACTGTGGGAGAAATTTTTTAAAATGCTTAGACCGTCATATATCTTGCCAGTCAGAAAGAAATTATCCACAACTTTTTTGGATACAGAATATTTTATCAGGTATAAAAAGTATAATTGGTGTGAATCAGCAGGCTGAAATTCTTCATTTGCAATGTGATGGATGGAGTAATTTACGAAATGAGGGCATAGTAAAATTTGTGATATCAAAACCTGAATCGGTGTTTGTAGATTTTATGTCTACAGGGTCTAGCAAACGCACAGCAGAATATCTTAAGGGTGAAATAAAGAAGATTGTTGATAAATTTGGCACCGCAAAGTTTCTTGTGTTAATTGGAGGCAATGCTGCTAATATGAAAAAGGCATTTAGGCTTCTACAAAACGACTATCCTCATATCATACCACTGGGTTGTATGGCTCATGCTCTACATTCTGTGCAACGATATCTTAAATTTTCCACCTATACAGAAGTCAATAACAGACGCTACACACATAGTTAATGCAATTAAACGATCCCAAATCTTATCTTTTCTACTTGTGGAAATAAGCAAAACGAAGGAGTGTAAAGTTTGCTTAATATCCAACAAAGTCAGTCTTTAAACTTTAGTTGTTCACGTAAAGGAAACGTCGTTGGATAAAGATATAAAAACTCTTTTACTAGATGGCACTTTCTGGGCGCAAGTACAACAAATTCGTGTTATTTCACTAATAACTACCCTAGAATCAAACACCCCAATGATCCACAAAGCGCACAGTGCACTCCCTGAAATAGAACTAAAAATTATACGTAGCATTTCAAATTTTGC